TTGCTCGGTCTCTCACGGGAAGCTGGAAAAGAGCAGTTTGCTTGTAACTGCCAGGGGTGTATCTTCAGCCCCCTGCTACCACAGGCTCACATAGCCCAGTCTCATGGAGCCACAAAGCATCTCCCCTCTAGGGACACGGCACAGGGGGCAAGCTGCAGTGGCTACACCACTGGGAAATGGCGGGGAGGGGGGTGAAGTATGTGTGCGTTTGCCTCCGTTCTTCCTCTCTTCCCCTACTGCCGCTTTAGCTGCTGGGGATTCTGCTGACACATACCAAGAGCCACACGGGAGTCAGCGATAAAATCTCCAGCCTTCTGATATGGTATTTTTTCACTTCCCTTGGACACAAGATGAGCCCCAACTCCAAAGGCTGCATTGACAGGAGCTTACGAGTCAGTCTCCAGCCCCATTCTCTCCCCTCCTACCTAACATTCCCTCTTGTGCATAAGCAAGTGGACTCTCCCTTTGAGAATGTTCCCCCAACTAAATGGGTTACTTTCCTGCCTTGCGTTATTTGGTATTACACAAGAAATTTTACCTGGGTCCTTCAGGGCAGGGGCCTGGCAGTGTGGGGTGTGCAGGAGTCAGGGCAGGGCCTTCGGGATGTGGGGGGCAGGACAAAAGGCTGGGAAGCATGGGGGAATGAGAGAGTGAGGGTTGGGGGGGTGAGAAGGGGCTCAGTGTAGAGGATCCCATCTGGCAGGGCTTTCTCTCCACCCCCACCCCCTGGCTGGCAGGGCCTTCTCTCCCCCTTCCCCTGTGCCCTGGCCATCATGGGCCTTCTGTCTCCCCCCAGCCCCAAGGGGCCTTCTGTGGCCCCTGCAATCCCCTGGCTGCCAGGGTATGTTCTATCTGCCCCCAACATCCCCAGCCACCAAGGGCCCTGCTCTCCCCCCCGCCCCCCTCTCCCCCCCAGCACTGCAGCCAAGGACTGGGGGGAAGGATTTTGGGCAGGTGGGCTATATAGCTATAATTCAGGATGGGTAGTTCACACAGAGTCTGGTATCTCCAGGAAAGGGAAGGGTAAGGCAGGAAGAGAGGAAACAGGAGGGCACCTAGAAGGACAAGCCTGGAATGTGATCAATATGTGGTATGTAAGAGCAGCATAGAACAATGGGTGTTAGCAGCACAAGGACAAGCCCCGATTCCCCGAGCAACAGCACTACAGGCTGTAAACAGCCCTTGGAGTGCACACGAAATTCTAAAACTTCATTAGGCTAATTAAAAAGTTGAAATCCAACAGTGCCACTGAGGCTGATGGCTAAGAAAAGTAATTTTCTCATATGCAATTAATCAGCTGCAGTCTTGGCAAATTGTGCCTAAGTTTCCTTTGTCAAACTAGGATCTGATCCAAATCCCCTCAAAGCAAATGGGATTCTTTCCACTGACCTCAATGGCCCCGTAATTCTTCCAGAGTATTTTCCTTAGTACACTTCTGCCATGTGGTTTCTCAGTGGCGCTCTTTTGCTGGCAGCCAATTCACCCTTTATTGTGTACTGTGGACCCAGCAGGATGTGCCTTGTAGAGAGTGAGGGAAATATCTGCATTATTGTTTATGAACATCATCTATACTCCCCCATTTACCTGTTTCATATTATCCTCCCTAACTGCACAGTTAAATTGAAGTAGGCTGTTAAGAAGAATCAAAACAATGGCAAAGATCAGGTATCAGGCTTCACAATAAACTACAATACATCTGAAATGTTCGGCTGTTACTAATATTCCCAAAAGGGTCGAAACAAACTATTGTTAGTTGTGTAAATTTAAATGGGTAAAGGGAATTTTTACAATATTTAGGAACAGCTATTGTGCTGAAATATAGAAAGCTTTTAAAGGTAAATTACCCTCCCATATGGAATAAAACAATAAAATAGATAGAAGGAACAGAACAAATATGAAATTTCTTAACTAGGTGGGATATCCTAGGACTGAAGGGAAATGAACAACCTCCCAAAGTTATTATTTTTAGACTCATAGACTTTAAGGTCAGAAGGGACCATTATGATCATCTAGTCTGACCCCCTGCACAGTGCAGGCCACAGAATCTCACCCACCCCTCCTAGAATAATCCTCTCACCTATATCTCAGATATTGAAGCCTTCAAATACTTTGAAGATCCCAAGATGCAGAGAATCCTCCAGCTGTGATCTGTACCCCATCCTACAGAGGAAGGTGAAAAACCTCCAGGGCCTCTGCCAATCTACCCTGGAGGAAAATTCCTTCTCGACCCCAAATATGGTGATCAGCTAAACCCTGAGCATGTTGGCAAGACTCATCAGCCAGACACCCAGACAGTTCTCTATAGTAACTCCTATCATCCCTCCATTGACCTATTTCCCACTGATAATGAATGGTCAATTAGTTACCAAAATCATGTTATTTCATCAAACCATCCCCTTCATAAACCCATCTAGTTTAATCTTGAAACCAGATAGATCTTTTGCCCCCACTACTTCCCTTGGAAGGCCGTTCCAGAACCTCACTCCTCTAATGGTTAGAAACCTTCATCTAATCTCAAGTCTAAACTTCCTACTAGCCAGCTTATATCCATTTGTTCTTGTGTCATTTTTGTTTCAGTGCATCTCTGCAGATATCCGATGTGGCATTAAAAACATGGCAGGATGCGCTGTTAAATTCAGACATAAAAGACAAAGGATGAGTTTGAAATTTTGTCACCCTACAAAGCAGGGTGGTCTTGCTTGCCAATTTGGGTTGTTATTTTTATACATCACATTTAGAAGATGTGATTATGACAGATATTTCAACTGCATGCTGTATCTTTGGGGGGCATATAAAATATTCTGACTATGTACTATTTATGGGGGAGGCAGGCTGAGTTCTGGATTTAGCCATATTTAGTCAATTTTCCAAAAGTGCCTCATTGATTTAGGAACCAAAGACCCATTTTCAAAAGTGACTTTGTACTTGTTCCCACACAAAAGAAGTACTGCTTTAGTGCTTATGGTGGCAACCAATGTTCCCTCTAATCTTTTCCATTGGTGGGCAGAATAAATGTTATGTGCACCAAGGCATGTGCAAATGTGCGCCAAACACAAACCTAGCTGTGGGCACGCTGCTAATCAGCTGAGTGGCATTGGAATCTCTCCTCTGTGGCAGCACAAATGCTCAGTTTACAGGGAACACTAGTGGCAACCCATCCTCATGGTGTGGATGCAGTTATACAGGGATAAAGGTTTTAAATCACCAGAACTTAGTTCTATAAGGGAAGGGAAACGGCTGTTATGGTATAAGCACCTTTATTCTAGCATAACTGCGCCCACACACACACCGGGGTTATACTGATTGGTTGATACTAGTAACGAGCCCCCTCCTTCATCCCAGCTGATGTTATTGTGGTACCAAACCAGTGTGCAGAGCAGACCTGAGGTGCTTAGGAGCCTAAGTCTCATTGAACCTCAAGGGGCCTTATGCTTCTAAGTCGCTTTTGTAAAACATGGCCTTTGAACTTTTGAAAATGTTCCCTGTTGTTGTTTCATTTCCTGTGCCCCCATGACACTGAGCTACACCGGGGAGTTCCCACCCTTCCCACTGACCCCCTTCAGGACTGGGAAATACTGGAACACATGCATGTGGCATCTGATCCTTTGCTTGCCCTGCTGGGGCAGTCACAAATGGGTAGCAATTGTGGCAGTGGCAGAATTTGCTACCCAGGGATGCTATACTGGAGGAAGCACATTCTGATACAGCAGCAAAAACAGTACTTTTGTCAGTAACTTCACTGGTAGCAAAATGTGTTGGTAATAGTTTTTTGACAACTAGAGTTCCCCTCCAGAGTTATTTGAGGCTGCACCCAGCAATGGACAGGAAGAGTTTCCAGGAGAGTTCAAAACATCCTCAGGTACTAAAGAGCTCTCTTAATTTGCTACAGGCCCCAGCTCACTGGAGCTTGGTAGCTTGGTGTCAACAGCAGCTGGATCCAAGCTTCAACATCCCGGGTGAGCTGCAGTCCCAAGTGGAATTTCCCAGAGTTCAGGGGTTTGCTTGGGTGTGGGCAGTCCTCCAAATTTCAACAGTGGGCAGAAGCCATGTGCATTGAGCAAAGAACAAAGCTGGGGTCAACCTATTCCAGGGTCACCTCCTCAGCTATCTGTAGTTGAAGGACTTGCAACAGATGCTAGAGTCAGAACATGTCCACGTTCCTTTTGAAAAGGTAGGAAACAGGTTTTATTATAACCTTAGATCAAACTGCTACAAGGCCTGCAGCTCCCTTCAGAAACCACGAGTGTGAAAGCCAGGAAGACCCTATCCTTTTTGATAGTCTACTTGACCTACAGGACCATCTCCCTTCAGACTCATTGCCAGAAGACTGGGGCCACGTCTTCACTAAATGGAAGATCGATGCTGCCATGATCGATCTTCCGGAGTTCAATTTAGTGAGTCTAGTTAAGATCTGCTAAATCAAACTCAGAAGGCGTCTTCACAAGCTGCCAGTCTGACTCCTGCTTCTGTGAAGAGTAAGGGAAACCAATGGAAGCACAACTTGGGTATCTTCAGTCGACGTTCCCTTGGAGTGCAGACCTGACCTTAGTCACCTTTTAAGTGGAGCAGCCACTAGAAGGAGACAAAGACTAGAGCCACTCTCTCCACCACAGGTTACATAGTTGAGCAGGCCTGCCAACAGGAGAGGACAAAGGGGGCAATTGCCCGCTGCCTCCACTATTTTAGGAGCATCAGTGGCCAGAGCTCTAGGCCCTTTAAATCTCCACTAAAGCGCTGTGCTGCTTGCTCTAGGTGGCTCTCAGGGCTAGCTTGCAGGGAAGCAGCGCAGCATGTTTCAGGTGGTGCTGAGGGCTGGCTGCCCAAGCCCCACCCCTTCTGACCGAGGCCCCACCCCTTCCAGGAGCACAGAGTCAGCCCCCCTCAACTTGCCTCGGGGCCTAGCAAATCTACTGGTCCTGCTGTAGTTGAGTCACTCTGCTCCCAAAGGCCAAGCAAACATCACCTTTAAGACACGCCAAAACTGCCAGTGCTATTTCCGAGTTTAAAATAACCATCTCTTTATTACACAGTCAGACATTGCGTTAGCTTATTGACAACGGAGCGTTAGTGACGCTCTCCATTCACTTGTGCACGGTTCCCACCAGGACTCAGACACAGAAGGATCAAAGCAAAGAGGAGAACCAATTTCTGTGTGGCCAGTGCAACATCTCAAGCAGCGTGTCCCTGGAGGGACGTGGGGGGTGACAATGCCGCACCTGTATGAGAGCATGGGGAGGGGGGCATGAAGAGAAATGAGAATGATTCTATTGCACACAACTTTGTTTTGTTTTAGCGCCTGGTTGTTTTCTGCTGGGACAAGCTTGCACCTTCCCCTGAGTCTCTGTGGAGCTGATAACATCAGTTCTCAGCTTGTAGGGAGGCAACCTGCTTAGCCAGCCGTGTGTAGCCCCATACACTCCTGAGGGCTGCTCTTTGCTCCATCACAAGCAGCACCCCTTTCTTCGGTGGTCATCTTCCAGGCACAGGGCCCTCTCCCTCTGCTTGCCCTCTTGAGCTGTCAGCAACCTGGAACGATCAACACATTAGCAGTTCAAGAACACAGCAGCCTGATCCTGCCTCCTTCCTCACAAGTCATTCAAGCCCTGCGGTCCCCATCAGGCAAGAATTAAGTAGAGGTAGAACAGTGAAGGGAAACAGTGAGAGCTGGGCTTCTTTTGGAGTTGCATTACATGAAAGGCAGACAGACAATATTGGTGAGAAATGCCACACATACTCAGAAGAGGAAGTGGCATATGCTACGGGAAGCATAGTGGGGACTCAAAAGATGTGGGCTCTAATCCTAGCTCTGCCACTGGCCTGCTGGATGACCATCCCCTCCCTGTACCTCAGTGTCCCCATCTGTAAAATGGGAATGCTGCATCCTTAGTCAAGCACTTTGAGCTCTACTAATGAAAAGCAATGTATAAGAGCTAGGTGGTATTATCGCACTACATAGAAAAACACTGCAGGCTTTCCTTTTTAAATAAATCTTTAACTACTAGAACAGGTCAAAATTGTGTAAAGATGGTCCCAAACTATTCTGTTTCAAAGCTTTTAAAGAGAAATTATTGTTCTTTGTTTCCCCCAAAAAAGTTTGTGAATTTTTTGAAAATTTAAAAATGAAAAAATTTTCAGATTTGAAATGTTTTGTTTCTCTGCCCTTTTCCCATTTGCCTACTTAAAAAAATGAAAAAAGGAGGAGAATGGAAAAACTGAAAAAAATGAAAACTGGACATGAAAAATGTTACAGTTTTCATAGAAAAGCCCAGAAATTTAATGTTATATACACATATACACACACAGGCACGTACACATATAGATAAATAAAATATTTATTTGGAATGTGTAAAGATCTGTTTTGGTCAAAACCAAACAAAAGTAGTCCAAACATTTTGACAAGCTCCGATCTTTCCTTAGGTCAGTGGTCCCCAACCTTTCGTGGCTGCTGGGGCGCCCAGGGGTGGGGCCGCTCACGTGCTGGGCGTCCAGGGGCAGGGCCGCTCACACGCCGTGCTTCTGGGGATGGGGCCACGCATGCGCTGTGTGCCCAGGGGTGAGGGCCACTCACGTGCCCTGAGCTGGCACCGTGCATGTGCCGGGCGCCGGGGGCGTGGCCAGCCCAGATGTTTCGGCGGGTGCACATAAATGCCCTGGCGGGCGCCATGGCACCAGCAGGCACTGCGTTGGGGACCACTGCCTTAGGTTATGTTCAAAATGTGCTTGGTGCTTTCCAAACACAGGGGAAAACAGCAACCCCATCTTGTATTTAGCCTGCTGAGTCACCAAAACCAATGTGCTACTCCAACTCTTCTTTGAGACTTAGTTCTGCCTCAGATTAACACTCCTTCTTGCCGGCACCTGAGAGAGATTGTCATGGCTCGGCCCTGGCTAAAAAAGGTACAAGGGTGATGCTTTTCCCTTCTACTGACCTTGCCATGTGCTGCATGGGCTCCAGGATGTTATAGCCGGTCCTGGCACTGCACTCATAGAAGACAGCCTTGTATTCCTGCAGGATAGGAGAGTGAGAAGATAACTTCTGCCATTCTCACCACCCCCCGCATCTCGTCCCACACATGCCAGGAATGAGTCTTCCCCATCTCCAGCCCATGCAAAGGATTATCCCTCCATCTCCACAGACACAGTGTAAGGCCATCCCTCTCCGGAACTCCCTGGGGTCTCAGCAGGCTGCACACACGCCGCCAGCACTACAGGCATCCCATAAGTGGCAGTCGCATCATCTTTTTCAACTGCTCAGAGTCTAGTTGGGGCCCCGGTGCCAAGAGTTTGGCGAAGCTCTAGCATCCAAGGGGCACATTGGGTTGGATCTTTCAGCTGCCAGAAGGATGAGGGGAAATGCCCCCTCACTGACCTATGTGGGGCGCTGTGCAACAGAGCACGAGAGACACACATAATTTGACACAACAAGGCTCAGTGCAGGAGCCCTTCAGGCTAAGGGGAGGCAGGGACCCTTAGGCATTGAACCCCAGAAAATAAATATCCCCATTTTGTAATCAACCAGTGCATTGCTAGCAAAACGAAGGCATGGCAAGAGCATGGGATCCCTGCCACTATTCCAGGGGAATGCTGGGGGCTGGACCCTCTCCCTGAGGGCCAAAGGATGCACCCAGGCCAAGCACAATCTGACCAGAAGTCCCTCCAGAGCCAGGGTTCACTACAACCTGGCCACTTTCTATGATCATTTAAGGACTTCATTCTACACCACTGAAGCCAATGGGAGCCTGGCCATTGAGTCTAGTGGAGACAGTGTCAGATGCTGCAACAGCTGTGAGCATAAGAAGAGTTTCCTAAATACGGCCGTGAGCACTCAGAGCGCTCCAGAGCGAAATCTACAAAACCTTTGGAATGGGGACTAGAATACAGAGCCGCACCTTTGCCAGCCTTTGCCCCTCTAGCTTGGGCACATGTTGGGGCTGACTCTCTGCTGCATCCGTTTTGTTGCCGAGCAGAAAGATCATGGCTCCATCCTCAATCCCTTCCTGCAAGACAGACACAACAAGGGAGACCCATCTGGAAGAGAAGAGTATCTCAGGGGTGGACTTTGCTCCCGCCTTGCCGTTGATTTCTGTGAAGCACGATCAGGCCCTGTGGGACCTGCCAGCTTGTCGTGGGATTCAGTTTATTTAGGAACTGTTTGCAAGCTCTTCAAGTGACACTGTGTATTGGAAGTGAAACTCTGGGAATGTTCTGATTCCAAATGGCTAATTTAATCAAGCCTTAATGCCCGGTTTTGGTGAGTGGGCCAGGGAGCAGGAGGGATTTTAATTTGGGGATTAGGAGGAAGGAGTTGTATTTAATTTCACTGATTTTTTAAAAGAAATCTGTCCTACTGCGTTTATGAGAGTTTAAAAGTCCTGCCAGATTCTCCTGTAGAGTCTG